CATTCATCGATGCCCAACGCTGCCAGATTCTTCCGCGCAGCATCACGCCACCTTTTACTTGGGCCGCACATTGGACAGACAGGATGTAGGGTGCCAAACAGTAGCTGACGCGGGGCACGCTCTTCATGCATTTGCACAACATGCCCAAGCCACTCCATGCGGCGCGATGTCAGCAGGCTGGGGATGTCACAGGGTTGACGCGGATTCCAATGCTCCAGAACATTAACCCTGGTCAGTCGTTCGTCCCAGACATTCGGCTGGCTGATGCCCATCACGGAACGGTTGCAGCGCAGATGGAAAGAGTACAGTGGATCAAGGTCGGGCTTCAACGGCATCCAGCACTCAGCACAGTACAGAAGCAGAGACAACACGCATGCCCCGTACACAAGCCGCTTCGTAGCAAGTGAGAGGTTGCTGTCATTGAAAACCGGCTGGCGCAGGGCTCCAAATGCATGTGATGCACCTGCAATGCGCGAGCTGATATCTGGGGTGGATCGGCCATTCGTGTGGAGGAGAGAGCCAAGATAACGAAAACTATTTACACACTCGACCACCTCACCCGCCACGTCCAGGGGCAGCCGGTCAGCTTTTACACATTTACACACACACACGCACACGCACACGCACACACACACACACACACACACACACACACACACACACATGCACATATACACACACTCTAAACACATTATCACACACATATTTTCACACACGAGCACGTGCGCGCACACACACATACACACACACGCACACACGCACGCACACACGCACACTCACACACATTCATAAACACTCTCATACACATTCATAAACACATACACACATCCCTCAGACCTCAGACATGCCCACCGCGGAAGCGATGATAGCGAACAGCTATGTTAGACATGGCAACTTGTGCTGGGATTACACCATTCAACAGCTTGCAAGGCTGATGAATAGATGACTTGCACAAAGATCCGAGCCGCGAGTGAGACAGGGCAAGTGCACCCTGTGCACCCAGGCTACACTGCGGGCACCCTACACCGTCTGTAGTGTAGATCTACTTTTGTTGTCAGCATGAATGAACGGTGCACGGCATGTACGCTACACATGTACGTGTACATGATCAGTACATGTACCGTGTGTCTTATGTCAGTATGTCTTCAGCAGCTCATGCGCAGTCATGTGCACTTGTAAGGTTAGTGCAAGTACATTACTGTATATTATGTGAAGAGAAGCCAGGCGTCCAAACCAACCCAAAATACTCTTGCCTTTAATATTCTTCGGTGAAATAGTTATAAACAACAGTGAGCATAGAAGCAAACTCGATGCACCCAATAATATGGCTTCCGGGAACAGCAAGTGTTGCACGAGGATCCCAAGAACACGTCAAGTTCCATGCTACCCGCCACCATCAAAAGAACGAAGGATAACTGTGCTAGCCTAGTTCATAATCAATGTAACGCTAATGGTACGGGATAGTAGGAGCCTGTTGGGAAGGCGTGGGTGAGCTGTAAAATCTTGTACGGTTTGCACAGCACAACATACATGCAGCAGTTATTGCGACAGTTAACGTCGATGGACGAGAGTCATAAAGCACAGTCCATGGGGGTTGACGTTTCTGGGCTTCCTTTCCGAAAGGAAAGTTTTATTTCTTCTTCAATAAAGCAGAATCATGCTGATTATACCAGTCTGTTAGGAAGACAAGAAAGCAGCCATGGACATTGTGCCATACTAGAGGAACGACAGGTAAAAGATAAAGCACTTCATCTGAAAACTCAAGGACTATCCATAAATACAGCAAATGATAATCCTAGCCTGGTAATGTCCAACTCCGTCATGTGAGCCATTCGGTGAGTTATCATGGGAAGCATAATGTTCGAAATGCTGACATTTGAACAGTTGCAGTTGTGTTTGTCGCCACACAATGCCATCACCAGTTCACATTCGAAATGTGTGTAGCCATTTTTACGCTTGTGTCCCTGTACACGGCATGTAAGGCTGAACAGATTCAACTCTTCCATCGCTTCCTGATCTGTACAGTAGCGCGGTTGCGTTCCCGTTCCTGACACTCACATTCGTCTCCGCTAACCAGCATCATGAGCACTCCAATGATTCCCGCCGCTCCTTCCGAATCGTCCCAGCGCGCCCCGTCAAAATGTGAATTACTGTAGGCAACGGAGCTAGTGTATGACGAAGGCGAATGCACTGTTCGATGATGCTCCAACAAATCCTTTCACCGTTGTATGGAATTTGTAAGAAGAGTAGTGGCTCAACTGTAGGTCCAACGCAGAAGGTACCTCACAGCGCAGTTCTGTTACGTCAATAATAATGAACATACTCAGCAGACTGTGATGTTTATCAGACACACTCTGGCATTATTTGTTCCACATTCTCCCAGGAGGAGATAAAAAAGTAGTTCAATCATGTCTTCAGTACATGGGGTACTGTTGCCTCGTTGCAACTAAACAGGTATGCAAGTTACTTTCCCATGAGACCCAGCCGGAGCTGCATCGTCGTCATTACCCTCAGCTAATCATGGAGAGGTCAGTGTCTGCTGCAGAGCCGGGTGAGCCGGGTAATCGACCCGGTTGAGCGGCGCTTGGACCCTGTTGAAAATATAGTACCAGGTCACCTGTGAGGCTGTGACCCGATTGGAACTTTACACGTTCGAACTTTGAAAGGACTGACTACATAGCTTGTATGTGTGACAGATCATGCAGAGGCGTGCGTCGAATACATGTGTACCCGGCTCCGATCCAGTTGAAATGGTTGCGCCAGGTACACGTGTACCCGGCTGTCCTACAATCCTACAGCAGACACTGGAGGTATGATGTGACTTTCATCCACTCCCTGATTCAATCATAGTTTGCGAGCCTGCGCCAAACTGCTTTCTCACTAGATCCAGGCATTGGATACATATGGCTTCAGTATGGTATACAATGCTATGTCTCTGGCCTAAGTCCAAGTCTAGATACAGCTGCTCAGAGTCAGGGCTGATGAAATGGTCATATTGGAACAAGTGAGACTTCAACAGTAGCTAGTACACATCAGGCCTGAGGACTTCGCAGCGTTTCTCCAGCACACTTGTTCTCTCCTTCAACTCAGATACTAGTTGAAGTACTACTAAAGGCCATATGGCTCTCACACTCAGTCCTTCCACCCTTCATTTTCGTTGTTTGGGCTTCCACTCGTGACTCGGCAGGTTCCTGGCCTCTCCGCAGTCTGTCCTCAGGAGAGGGTCGCTCTGGAGCTAGTGCAGCCGAATTAAAGGGAATCGAGTTCTTTCTCAGACGTCCACAAACTTTCGTTGTGCTTGACTTCGCTTCCACTGCGGGAAAGTAGTCACACTTCAGGACCACGACGTGCTTGTTGCAGCCTACACCAATGATACTAAAATAATATTCCCTCATTTTTCTGCATCCCGGCCGGCCGGCTCAGAAAGCCCGGAACGTATGGAATGAGACCCTCAGGTCCATCTCTCGTCTGCTAGTGCATTCAGGAGCGCAGCAGCGCTTCGGCATGACGATACAAGCCGAATCAAAACAACTCTACTCGCTAGCCAAAAAAACTAGCTCAGTGTTCGTCAGGCAAAAAGCGAAACTTCGAAAGTCACGAACTCAAAAGGTGGGAAGTCAGAAAGTCCACTTGCCCCGTCTCGAACCCAGACAATCTTTGTGCAAGTCATCTATTGACCGCCACTCTGTTTAGCCTTGTATCCCCCACACAGCTGTTTGAAGTGAATTTTCCGGCCAGTGAATCCCTATTTTTCATTTTTTTCATTTTTTCTACACACACACCACACCACCTACTCCGGCATACACTGGCTGTTGGTAACCACCCAGGAGAATGAAAGAAAAGTCAGGAAGATTCCGAGAAAGAGAAGAAAGATGTGTGCGACCATAATCGTCGGGAATTGAACCCGCAACCTCTTGATCGGAAATCGACTTCACATACCACTGCACCATACACACACACACACACACACACACACGTTCACAACCACACATGTGTGCATGTGTGTGTGTGTGTGCATGTGTGTGCCCCCCCCCCCTTTCCCTGTTTCTGCACCTTGTCCTCACCCATTTACTGAGGTGTGGTGAGCCCATAAGTGGAATCATTTCCAAATCCACCCAGAGTTTTGGGGATTTCAGGGGGTGTCAGCCCGTTGGGCGGTTCAATAGCCAATTGAGTCATCTTTCCAAAATTCCTTTTGAATCTCTCTCCCCTCTCCCGGGGAGACGCACGTGACCAGTTTCGGCAGTGAGCAACAAGTATGTGTGTATGTGTGTGTGTGTGTGTGCGTGTGTGTGTGCGCGTGTGTGTGTGTGTGTGTGCGTGTGTGTGTGTGTGTGCGTGTGTGTGTGTGCGTGTGTGTGTGTGTGTGTGTGCGTGCGTGTGTGTGTGTTCGTGTGTGTCTGTATGCATGTATGTTGTGTGTCCATACACAGGTGCAACGGTTGGCTCACATCTCATTGCTGCCGGAGTCCCAACTGGAACCAATGGTACGATAGTCCTGCATAATATTCTGGGAACGGCGGATCGCCCTAAAGTCACATTCCTGAATAATCAGACCATCGATGCTCACCTCACCCCCAGTCAAGTCACAAGCAGCACAAACTTTGTTGCCAATATGATGGTTGGCATGACTTCCTATGCAGCTGTTCTTTACTCCATGAGTCCCGCACTGGCACGGGAAGGTAAGCTTCCTCTCTTGTCATTTTGGCAGTGTGTGAGAGTATGCTTATACCGTAAAGTACCGCGAGAACCCTGTCTGCAAAACAGGCCACACGTGGAGTGCTGGCATTTCCGCTCTGTGGTGGGAAGGGGTGTCCCTCATCACCGGATGACGAAGGATTCATCCGCGCATCAGGCAAGCACACATTCAGCGCAAGAGTCCTGGCATTAGACCCCCAAACCGCATGGGCAAATGAGGCATCTGCAAAAGAGATGCACCACCTTGCCCAGCGTGTGAGGAGTCGGCGAGGAAGCCAATGATCTGTAAAGAATATCTCCTGCTTGTAATCTCGATTCTATGCTAGCCCTCGTTCATGATTGTTCTTTTTCTTACTACTTACTACTTTTCACTGCTATATTTTTTCTTTAAATCCACATGCTCAAGTATTTTCCCCAAGAGCTGCCACCATCAGTTTGCCGGTGAGCACCCAGGACACCCGAACTCTTAAACTAGGTTTTTTTGAATGTCTGTAGCTTGCGCTACAAAGTAGATGAAGTAACGGCACTCCTCCGGCCGCAGGACTTTGATATTTTTGGATTGGCCAAAACCTGGCTAGACAGCACTATTGGTGACGGAGAATTAGCCATTCCTGGATATAACCGTCGCTCACAAGGACAGACCATGTGGGTAAACGAGGAGGAGGTACGTGTATTATTACAAATCTTCTTTGCCAATCCGACCTTGTCCTGAACTGTCTTTGAATGGCCTAGAGGCTGTCTGGATATCGATCCAAGGCGGCATGCAGTGGCCTGGATCTACCGACCTCCAGATGTGGGGATTGACTACTGGAACAACCTTGAAGAGTCACTGCAGCGGGCCCAGGCGCAAGCGCCACACATGACCATTATTGGCGATCTCAACGTCAACATGACAACTCACAGTCACCATCGTACACACCTGCAAGACCTCAGCAATATGTTTGGCATCTCGAATTTGGTGAAGTTCCCCACACGGCCGACTCCGAGTGGGAATCATGGTTCAGTGATCAACCTCGTACTAGCAGACCATAACTTTGTCTCGAGTTGAACTGTTTTGGAATGTACAATTAGCGACCACCACGCGGTGATGGCGGACCTTCATATCGCCATAGCAACATCTAGTCCAGGTAGGCACAGCCAAAAGCGTCGCCACTTACACAGCATTGATATCGACCAGTTCCGGTGTGACCTCGCCGAAGCACTCAACGCTAATACTACATCTGCCCACATGGATGTTGACGACATGTGGACGGCTTTCTATGAAGGGCCTCCCTCTTCTGAATTTGACTCTCTGCTGGCCTTCCCTCCTCCCATCCCCTTACATTGTATTGGGCCTCCGCAGCTCCCCCCCCCCCCACCACCACCACCACCACCCCACGCACACACTACATTGTCACATAGCACAACTCAACCATTCGCTACCCTGTTATTGAGCACTCCTGCTCGTTTGGTCTCGCGAAATCCAAATAAAATCAATCAATCAAGGGTTCAAAACAGTTCTAGACATACATGCACCCATCATGCTCTCATCAAGAAGCCAGAAAGCTGCTGCGACATTACCTTGGATCGACAAGGATACGTACCAACTCACGCAAAAGAAAAACAGATTACACAAGCGCTGGCTAGGAGATAGAGGAAATGACATCCTACACACCCAGTAAAAGACAGCCCGGTCTCAGGCATCCAACGCAATCCACAGGCAAAGAAACGCTTTTTTCACCAGACAATGTGAGCAGAACTCTCATGATCCAAGGAGAATGTGGTCAATCTTGAACGCGGTAACCGGCCGCTCCAAGGCAAGGCAGGACCCAGTGTGCTACCTTTCTGCGGCGAGCAGCTCCTTCAATATTAATGTCACTGATCCAAGCCGTCCAGACACCCTACAGATACCCCATGGTCCCTGCACCCGCACCTCGCTCTCAGCTCACACGCCAACGACCTGTCCCGCAGTACAGCGATTACTCGCCACAATCGATCCTGACAAGGCTACAGTACAGGCAGTGTCGAAATCCCTTGCTGCGAGCCTGCAGTGACATTGTTGCCCCGCACTTATGCGACCTCTTTAATGCCTCCTTACATTCCGGTCGCCTACGGAAGCCGTTCAAACACGCCCTGCAGTCGCCACTAACTACAGACCCGTGTCGTTATTACCAATTGTTGCGAAGCTGCTTGAAAAGGTAGTACATCGCCTCTCTTGTAAGGTTCCTCGCGGCAAACAACGTGCTGCCGACCACCCAATTTGCATACCGCACAAACCACTGCACTGAAGATGCTTTGGTACTCCTGACGGAGAACATTCTCAAAATGCAAAGGACGCGCGACTAGCCAGTGGTGTGTGTTTGCTGGACATGTCAAAGGCTTTCGACAAATTCAAGCATGACAATCTTTTACGCGATCTTTTCGAAGTTGGCCTTCATGGCACTGCACTCCAATGGCACCAAACAAGTGCAAATCGCTGAAGCCATTGGTGTCAGTGGCACATGCTCATGTGGTGTTCCACAGGGTTCCGTTTTCGGACCCGTGCTTTTCAAAATCTAAACCAGGCATATGCGCACCATTGCCAACCCATCCCTCTCAGTACAGTTTCCTGACGATATTGCTCTCACGTTCAGCCACCCTGATTGCCATGAAGTATCGCGAGTTTTCACAAAGTCTACATCCGAGATTGCTTACCACCTCCAGGAACGGAATCTAATCCTGAACACTAGCAAAAGCCATGTCCTGCGAATTTCCGGCCAAGACATAACTGTCAAATGCCGTGGAAACCCGCTACCAGCAGTTCCCCATGCGAAGTATCTGGGCATCACGATAGACGAGCACGTTCGATTTGCCGAACACGTTACCAATGCTGTAAAGAAGGTCTCGCAGAAGATGAGAGCACTCTGGAGAGCCCGCCGTTGCCTTGCAAGAAGGTCCAGAGAGCAGTACGTGAAATCCGCTGTGATGCCAGATTTCCTCTACGGGTCCGTGGCGTTCTCTGGTCGCCTTCGACAAGACTAGCGGTCCCGCCTTCAGGTCCAGCAAAACAGTGCGGCACACGCCGTATTCGGCCAGCCACCTCGTACAAGCGCCCAACCTCTGCTTACTCGTCTGCAGCTGTATGGCATCAAAGAGCTCCACAAGCAAAAGACCCTTGTTATGATCTGGCGTTGCTCGATTGGTCGGGCAAGCAATGCACTGCAAGCCCTTCTGGAGCGTCCCAGTACTTGCACAACGCGCGCGCCATGCAGCTTGGGCCTTCCAGTGCCGAAATCTCCAAAGCTGGTCACGACCGTCCAACCGCTCGCGGGTCCATTATATGGAAAATCCTGCCAATCCGACGTGTGTGTAGTATTACCCAGTACCACCAGTTCAAAGAAGCCTACCTTCTGTTCTGTCTTGCTAGCAGTAACACCCACTACTGAACACTACAGGAATCTTTGAACGTTTGCGGTACTCCACAGTACCAGTCATGTGCTGTTTACCGCCTCCCCGTTGTTGTATTCTAACGTTAACGTTATTCATTGACTGAGCGCTCTTTGCTTTGTACTACACCCTGCTATCATGTTAGGCTATTTCCTACAATAATTTATTTTTTCCATTCAATTGGGCGACACCGCCCGTTTGCTTCTGCGAATTCAAATAAAAATGTACCTACCTACCTATACGGCCGAGGAAAGTAAAATCATTTGGCAAAATGCAAAACACTACTAATTTTGTCTGGTGTGATGACCACCATCTTGTAGGTTTACTGTTGTAGCATGTTCTTGTGTGGAGCTTCAAGGTAAACTGAGTGCCGATTGCTGCAAGAGTTTAACTTTGGTCAACTTCAGTGGCAGTGGCTTTGCAACTGCTAGTGACAGTACGCGACAGGCATTTCCTTGTCGCAAGTGTCGCATACATGCCAACTTGGAGGCTTGAGTTCCCTGGACAACGAGGCTAAATTCCCTTGATTTTGTCTGTGTTTTTTTGTGGACACAAGTTTTTCTAGCGCATCCATCATTAGCAGATCTATTTTTCATGATTGCTGCTCAATCAAAAGGGATGTCATTGCATTGAGCTGGAACTGCACAAGTAATTTTCTGTTGACTACCGTTATACCGACGATCCGTTGCAGTTCTTTATGGGTTGTATTGTCTACTATGTGTGTGCTGTGTGCACTTACAACGGATTTTCAAGTTCGAGGAAACATTAAAAAAGCGTCATGAAAGGGAGAATTTCGTTTTCAAAAGTTCCATCTCAATCCCTGGACTCTCACAGGACATCCTGGACCCCGGGACAAACACCCTCTTCACTGGACTGTCCCGGGAAACCCTGGGCGTTTGGCCTGTATGGTGTCGTATGTTACACATACTTTATGGTTGTAAATACAATGCTGTAGTTTTACATCTCTGTATGTCTTTGTCCATCTCGTCCATCTCTGTTTGTCTGTCTATCTGTCTTTCACTAACGTTTCCACGCAAACTTCACAACACACACACACACACACACACACACACACACACACACACACACACACACACACACACACACACAAACACAAACACTATTGCACATGTTCTCTGCAGCTAACTTTACTGCCGTTCTAAGTGGCTTCACCGATCAAGAAAGCGTTCTCGTTCAGAAACACAACATAACGCTCGATAACACAAGCATATTTGACTTCGCTCCCAACGTGCCTACAAACGCTGAGTATCGTACGTACAACTCAACTTGCTACGAGGCTACAGCACCAGTTAATGGATGTGAATGGATAGCTTTCACCAGCCCACTTAATTTGGAGTGGGATACGTACGAGTTGCTCTTCTTCGACCAAACTACCGATATGACGCCCGTCAACCAATACAAGTACCCCGTGATCGTCTTCAAATCCTACGGTAAGGCTTGGCACTGTCCGCACAGCTGTGTATGTTGTTGTCACAGTTGTGTATGTTGTTGTTGTCATAATTGTGTATGTTGTTGTTGTTGTCACAATTGTGTATGTTGTTCTAGTGTGATCATATTTTCTGACAGCAAATGATGAGCTGGGGGACCATTTTGGCAAAGCCTTTTCCAAGGTTTCCAAAATTCATTCCGTGTGTGTGTGTGGGTGGGTGGGTGGGTGGGTGTGCGTGCATGTGTGTGTCTGTGTGTGTGTGTGTGTGTGTGTGTGTGTGTGTGTGTGTGTGTGTGTGTGTGGATGTGCGTGTGTGTGTGTGTGGGGGTGTGCGTGTGCGCGTGTGTGCGCATACATGTAATGTATTTTCTTTTCTTGTAGATGTAAGTGTAGCTCCCACCACCATGGCACCTGCAAGCACAGCAGTACCTGCAAGCACAGCAGTACCCAGGAGCAAGGACAGCAGTACAATCACCATCAAGCCTACGACCAAAGCTGCCTGTAAGCCTAATTTACTGTGCACGCTACAACCAGTCTACACTTGTGACTAAAGAAATTCTTGGCCCGTCGAGTCCATGAACCCCACTGATGGTATAAAAAAAGTATACTTTACACATACGTAGAGTCTACAATTGTCTACATTGTAAAAAAATCCACTAAAATTAAAGTTACTTACTGTAAATCAACAAATTTTGAGAAGCTTTGGCCGATTTCGAAGTGAAGCGTTTTTGCCGTCGTCAAACTTTGGCCGGCCGTGGGATTTAAAAGGAGAAATCGATCAGTGGTTGCTGCTTGCATCATTTGAAGTTATGACACACATTGGCCTGCGATTTACATTAGCCGGCTGGCACTAAGCGGCGAAGTCTGCGAAATTGAATCGCGTGTGTAGTTCCTCGCCGTAGAGTAACGTAGAACACGCACAAGTGTAAGCTGCATGGCACCCTTCATTTCTCGCTTCAGCTCGTTCTCTGCCATGATCAAGTTGCTACAGACCTTGCACGCTGATTCCATACACCACTGCCACAGGTTATGTCTGTCAGCTAGCTACAGCAACAATATCCTTTTCATGAATGTTCAAAACTATTTTCTCGGGTGAAAATCAGCTCTCCACTGACACGGCATGATCGCATGTGCATGGACAGGATCCGACTGCGATGCAGCTCTCCTGGAAGGAAGCAAAGTTCTCCTGTCGCCAATGCCATCGCTTGTCAGTGTCACTCAAGAAAAAATAAATTTCAATTTCAGAAGCTACGAATTCAACGCATTCCAGTCTGGTTCCACCAAGACTACTTACTACAGGGCATCTGATTTGACAAGGTGTATCAGTAGGACTTGGAAAAGTCACAGTAACAGTTTGCAAGATCACTAGCCATTACAACAAGTATCAGAACATCAAAACAAACCTCGTGTAGATCCACAATTTCAGATTCAACCCATCGATCTACAATTTTAGGTTCCCTTAAGGCTTTCCCGCCAGCTGGACATGATGCATGCTCTCACCAGGCCGGGGGTCGTCAAATGCCGGTACTTGACGACTCCCTGGCTCTCACTTGTCAGCCAGCTCACACGTCTTGTCGTGCACGCGCAGACGTCCAGCACACACGCGTGTCGAAATGTGTTTTTTGGTGGGTAGTCGGCAAAAAAATTAAGTGAGGGTACCTTTAGTCTCTCGCAAAGCATAATATGAGGATTTTGCGAGCATAATGCGAGAATCCATGAAAGCATAATTCCATGATTTCGCGAGCATAATCCGCCGGAGCCTACACAGCACCCATGGTTCTTGCTCATGTCTTGCGTGTGCAAAGTTGTCTTCTTGAATTTTTACTGCACTGGGAATATCCATTGGCCCCTGGTGAAGACTTGGTCGGTGAACATTTTGTACCACTCCCAGATACTGTCTCTCTAACCCAGCTACCTCTTCTATACTGTAAAAGCGATAAACTTTCACGGCATGCATATTATGTGTACAGTTGAATATCGATTATCCGCACATCGACTATCCGACCATTCGATTATCCGTAACAGTTTTTTTGGGCGCACGTGCCGTAGAGTACGCACTGTGCATGTAGTGAGCCATTCAAAAAATACGAAAATTTTTAAAAGTAAAAAGTAAAAAGGTCGTGCGGCTAGTAATAACCACTGAAAGTGTGTGAGTGACAGTTTTTTTCTTATCCGAAACATTTGCCTTATCTGAACACCGCCTGACAGTTGTCTGCCCAGAGGTGGTCGGATAATCGATGTTCAACTGTACTAGTAGTCAAGAATTGCGCAGGTACAATATGAGAAACTTTCCAGATTGATGTTCATCTATTCAGTTGGATTTAAAAAAATTCAGTTCGATTTTGTACTGTCTACAATCAATGTGCAGAGCGGTTCGTAGCGATTTATTTTCGGGAATGTGTCATGGTCGTGAAAGTAGCGAAACCTAGTCTCTTTTGAAAGTCTCTCACGTTTCAGTACATGATGGAGTGACTGAGGGTGTGCTTTTCTTTTCTTTTGCTTTTTGTTCAGCCGGAGCCTCTTATGGAGCTGCCATGCCATCTCTCTTGGCTCTAGTTCTCCTGATGGTCGCCGCACTCCATCTGTAAACGCTTGCCACCGTGTCTGCCCTGCAAGAACACAGGCAAGTTGCGATAGCATCACCATGGCTACAGTGCCTCCAAGTCAGTAGCTGCCGGTGCACTGCCAAGGCTCGCTCTGTGTATCCTGGCGGCTTCCGCTGTGTACGAGTACTTTGCCATGAGTAAGGCCATCTACTTGCTCTGTGGCCGACTTACACGGGTAGACGATATCTGGCCACCTTGTTTGTCCCACATTCGTTAGTTCACCATACGCACATTCAAGTGCCGTACGGTCTAGTTTGTACTTGCAGCGATTTCCAATCCAGAAGTTGCTCGTTTGATGATGCATACACATATCTTTCTTGAATTTCTCAGACTCCTCCTGACTTTTCTTGCATTCTCCTGGGTGGTTAACTGCCCCGTGCATGCCGGAGTATGTGCGGTGATGTGCATACGGGGGGGGGGGGGGGGGACTGAAAAGGATCACAAAGTGGGGATTCTCTGGCCGGAAAAAGCCACTTCATAGCTCTATGGTATAGATCAGGCTGAATAGTGGCGGTCAATTCTTCAGCCTTCAAGCTGTTGAATGGTGCAATCCCAGCACAAGTTGCTATGGCTTCTGCTGTAGCATTGCTATCATCGCCTCCGGCGATGAGCATCAAATGGTCAATGGTGTGTGTGTGTGTGTGTGTGTGTGTGTGTGTGTGTGTGTGTGTGTGTGTGTGTGTGTGTGTGTGTGTGTGTGTATGTGTGTGTCCCATATGGTGCAGTGGTATGTGCAGTCGATTTCCAATCGAGAGGTTGCGGGTTCAATTCCCGACGATTATGGTCGCACACGTCTTTCTTCTCTTTCTTGGACTCTTCCTGACTTTTCTTTCATTCTCCTGGGTGGTTACCAACAGCCAGTGTATGCCGGAGTATGTGGTGTGGTGTGTGTGTGTGTGTAGAAAAAAAGGAAAAATGGAAAAATGAAAAATAGGGATTCACTGGCCAGAAAAAGTCACTTCAAACAGCTGTGTGGTGGATACCAGGCTAAAAATAGTGGCGGTCAATTCATCAGCCTTGAAAGCTGTTGAATGGTGTAATCCCAGCACAAGTTGCTATGTCTAACATAGCTGTTCGCTATCATCGCTTCAGCGATGGGCATGTCTGAGGTCTGAGGTCTGAGGTGTGTGTGTGGGGGGGGGGGGAGGGGATTCGCTGGCCAGAAAAAGCCACTTCATAGCTGTGTGGTGTATACCAGGCTGAATAGTGGCGGTCAATTCTTCAGCCTTGCAAGCTGTTGAATGGTGCAATCCCAGCACAAGATTCTGCTGCTATGGCTTCTGCTGTAGTATCGCTATCATCGCCTCTGGCGATGGGTGTCCAATGGTCCAATGGTGTGTGTGTTCCGTCTGTGGAAAGGTATGCTCTAGACCAAGCAACTTTAATTAAACGCCACAAGTGCGCGGCAGAGCGTTGCAAGCCAGTGCAACAGCAGCATGGTGCATGCCAATGTGCAGATTGTGGGAAATGATGTCGTAGCAGAGGTGGACTCGTTGTCCACCAATGTCCGTCGAACTCAATCGCTAGCCAGCCCGCTCCTTGTAGGCCTCGCCAGAACCGCCCAACAACGGATGAACGTGCCAATTTTCCTCTACTGTGTCAGCACTGCTCCCGGAGATTTCAGCTATGAATTGGCGGATAATGCTCGAAAAGGTGGCAGATTCTGCTCGAAAAGCAGTGAAATTAGCAGAACCATACGAACCTCATGGCGGGCAATTCCTCGAATTCTGGTCCATTTCTTTATCCACATACTAAACATGCATGAAACTTACCAGAAAAAGTACCGAATTCTGCCAATTTTCCTGCCGGCATTGTTCAGATATGCCTAGTTTCAGCAGTCCAGGGACTTGATGTGGTACCGGCATGTATGCTTCTATCCCTCCTCCCGCAATGGGAGCACGTGACCTTTACGACAGTGGGTCAACAGGACAGGACAGGTGTGTGTGTGTGGGGGGGGGGGGTGTCAACCAGCTGTGTGATATCAAGAGTACATAACCCCCCCAGAGTGTGCAACGCCGATCCAGTTCTGCATAGGGTCTTGGTCGAGCGGAATCGGATCTTCTGATGTCATGCGTACACTCCACACCAGCGCAAGGCCGGTCTCGAGGGAGGGTACCGTTGTTTTTGATCCGAGAGTACCCGCGACTCCCCGGGTTCCCCTCAGATGTGTACGGTATTATGACGCAAAGATCCGATTACGCTCGACCAAGACCCTATGCAGAACTGGATCAGGCGTTGCACACTCTGGGGGGTTATGTACTCTTGGTGATATACACCAGGCTAAAACTAGTGGTGGTCAACTAATCAGCCTTGCAAGCTGTTGAATGGTGTAATCCAGGGATTGGCACCCTGGGATAATCCAGGGAGTGTTACCCTGGGGTAATCCAGGGATTGGTACCCTGGGGTAATCCAGGGACTTGTACCCTGGGGTAATCCAGGGAGTGGTACCCTGGGGTAATCCAGGGAGTGGTATTCTGGGGGTAATCCAGGGATTGGTACCCTGGGGTAATCCAGGGAGTGGTACCCTGGGGTAATCCAGGGAGTGGTACCCTGGGGTAATCCAGGGAGTGGTGCCCTGGGGTAATCCAGGGAGTGGTGCCCTGGGGTAATCCAGGGAGTGGTACCCTGGGGTAATCCAGGGAGTGGTACCCTGGGGTAATCCAGGGAGTGGTACCCTGGGGTAATCCAGGGAGTGGTACCCTGGGGTAATCCAGGGAGTGGTACCCTGGGGTAATCCAGGGAGTGGTACCCTGGGGTAATCCAGGGAGTGGTACACTGGGGTAATCCAGGGAGTGGTACCCTGGGGTAATCATAGCACAAGTTGCTACATGTATGTCTAACATGACTGGTTCGCTATCATTACTTGAGGAATGGGCATTTGGAAGTCGGGAGGTGTGAAATGTGAAATTCAACCATGGGGCAGAGATTACGAGGCAGACATGGCACAGCGTTTTCTTGCTGACATGGGCTGTGTGCAATCGGCCACTGCCGCATTTGATAAGATCCCCCACCCATTGCACGCAACACTCGTCAAATTATGTCTAGAGCAGTGCATGAATCACTTCACAGATTCCATGCCATTTCGGGGCCCTCAAGTTCAACACAAACCAGGTGAGAGTGTCCGTTTCAGCGCCATGAACGTAGGCGCCGGATTTTACGGCGCCACATATTTCAGCGCCATAATATTATACTTCTGCGCCAGCCGATAAGCGCCGAATATGTCAGTGCCACATAAATCTGCGCCATTATATTTCAGCGCCAACTTAAGGTACAGCGTCATTATGCACAGCTCGATCAAGTACACTGTGGTTCAGTTCAGCGCGATAAAGTGTACCTTATCGCGCTTAACACCTTCGCGCTGTAAATTACCGCGCCTTACTTTTTCGCACTGAGTTGCTGGCGCTGTACTTTACCATGCTGATAGTCATGGCGCTGGAGAAGCTGGCGCTATGAAATCATGCGCTGAAGTGCTGGCGCTATGAAATCAGGCGCTGAAGAAGTTGGCGCTGTGAAATCAGGCGCTGTGAAATCAGGCGCTGAAGTGTTGGCGCTGTGAAATCAGGCGCTGAAGAAGCTGGCGCTGTGAAATCAGGCGCTGTGTCTTCAGTACCTCGCTATACAGGTCGATGTATGGAGGAAGCAATGACCATTTTATTACTATATTAGGGGTTATTTGGGCATCATCTTCCAGTGTGACGCTCTAAAAAACATCGGATTTTGCGTTGTTTTGCGGACATTTTGTGTAATTTCTCCATAGGGCCTACTTTGCTACATAGCTTTGCATAGCCCTGGCCCCAATATCATGCTCTAGTTCCTGCAGATAGCCCCCGCCGCACAGAGTAACATCTCTATACTGTACAACAAATCCCAGCCTGAGTAATTAGCCTACTTTGTGATATGGCACATGGTCTTACACCACTGGCCATGATGCTCCTCTACAAGTGCTATGTTCGACCTGTGATTGAGTATTGTGTCGTAGTGTGCTCCTTTCGTCTTCGGTCAAGCGACTTGACTGAGCTGGATACAGTCCAGGCCCGGTTTGCAAGATCCTACCTCAGGAAACGCAAAATCTGAATCGACTTTAACACACCCGGCCACCCGAGCAGGAACTTAATGAATAAGCTAACATTGAATCCCTTCTTTATCGCACGCAGTTTATAAGCTTAGTTACCATGCACATATTTATTTTCAGGTATCGAAGTTGCCTACAAATTGTAGCTTCGTTCAATTTCGATATTAAAATGCAGAGTGGGAGACGCCCAAACAAAAAGTATTCACCCTAAAGCAATGACCACATCAGAATCGTTGTTTCTCTTCCAAACCTCCCTCTTATGGAACTGTCTCCCACCGGGACTAACTGCAGAACCATCCATTGTTGTTTTTAAGAAAGAGCTTCGCAAACTCACTTGCAAACATAGTGCTTCGCTCTCTTGTATGCCCACACTACCATGTACATTATGATAACCCCAGTCACGCTGCACTACTTTTCACTATGTACTTTTACCATGTTTACTTTAGCTCAGACAGGTACAGTGATGGCAACTGAAATCCGACCACTGAGCGGTGCGCTCACATCGCAAAGACCCAACATGGGATAGTAAAACTACGAAATAGAGACCGCTAGAATGTGAACGCATCCCTAGGGGATCGGATTTCAGTTGCTAGCACTGTACAAGCACATCAGTGTAAGTACATGTGATTGTACAACCTTCTCCTTGACCAAGCCTCGAATGCCTCACTACAACGCAGCCTAGATGAGCTTCGTGCCTGGAGCAAGAGATAAGATGGAGGATTGCGTTTGAGCCATCGAAATCGCAAACCATCACTCTGTGCCGCGGCCACCAACGGACAGTGACTTTACAGCTGTCATTCGGCGGACCTCCTCTCCCACCAGATGAAACTGTCAAGGGGCTCGGAGTGACGTTTGATTTTAAACTTAGCTTCAGACTACACTTTCGGCAAGTTGCACCACGTGCTAAGCAGCGGCTGGGCCTCCTGCGGAAGGCAGCATCCCTCCTCAGCCACGCGGCAGGTGACTGTCTACAAAGGATTCGTCAGGCCAATGCTGGAAAATGTCACTATTCCACGAAAGGTCTCTGCTCTCTGCCTGTTGTATAAACTGATGTATGACTGTGGCCATGGTCTACCTCAATTAGTTGCGGCCATGTGTCCTCCCCCCATAGGCTAAGCCCCCACGTCATCGCCGCACACGAGCAGCCCAACAACAACACTATGGCCACCAGCTTGAGCTGAATGTCTCGCCACGAGCTTCTGACTACCTTCTCCGCTCTTTTCCATACTGAATCGTGCCAGTGTGGAATAGATTGCCCCGGACGTATCC